TTTCATTTGTAGTTGATGATGTAAAGATGAAAACTTACTTGACTATGAACATAAACTCTAGGATTAAGCTTGAAAAATGAAGTACATGATGAACTGAGTTATGATATTACTCAGCAAAACAGCATCAACGATACATCTAGTTTCGAAGAAAAAGCAGAAACTTATACACGGTAGTTGCTAAAACAAAATGAAGTTAAGAAACTACAATACAAACTACTACGCCATTAACATGGTTTACAAAATTACATAAAAGCATAACTGCTAAGAAACTAACTTAACAGACTTTGTCTCAAATACACCATAGAAAGCTTTAAACAACAAGAGGGATTTACATTTACAAATCCCCAAGGCATTGTCTATTGAATTACCTAGCAGAAGGAGGAGTGATTTCAAGTGAATTACTCAATATCTGGCTCTCCGTCCTCTGAGTTTCTTTGGAACCCATCTCCAACTCCAAACACTCCTTGAGTTCTGATAATACACAACTCATGTCCGGCCTTTGGATTCCAATTGGCAACACACATGACATTGCTATCTCCACTGCTTTCCAGGCTGCATTAATGTTGAATTCACCTTGTAACCTTGGATCAATGATCTTTCGGATATCCCCTATTTCAATCAAAGGATTAATCCACTCAATTATGTGAATGGCTTCTTCTCCTCTTGTTATGACAGGCTGACCACTATCTAGCTCTAGTAGAACTATTCCAAAGCTATAGACATCACTTTTCTTGTTAATGACTCTCGATGAGTGAAACCTGTATGAAAACATAAAAACAATTATATCAATAAAATGTTGAGAAAGTGTTACTAATCATGTTTGAGATTTAAGACTCACTCAGGGTCTAGGTATCCGAGTGTTCCTGCAGGGCAAGTTGATATATGGGAAGCAAATTCTGTTAAAAAAGCTCTAGATAATCCAAAGTCAGCTATCTTGGCTTGCAAGTTTTCATTTAATAAGATGTTGGAGGTTTTCAAATCTCTATGAACTATTGGTGGCATGCAACCATTATGCAGATATTCCAATCCTGCAATGATAACACTACAAAAATGTCAATTAAACTACTTAAAGCGAAAATGAAAATTTGATTTGGAAAATTCTGTAGGATGGACCATGTGCAGCATCTACAGCAATTTGAAGTCTTTCAATCCAGCTCAAAATGTTTGTGTTTCTATCTATAGGAAAAATTTGTCAGTACAACCTTTTACCAGTTCAGGTTGTCAAGGTCAATCAATTGGTCAAGGATTTGTTGAGTACAACATGGGTTATACCTAATAAATGCTGCCTCAAGTTTCCATTAGCCAAGTATTCATAAACCAAAGCTTTTTTGTCATCTTCATCACAGTATCCCACGAGTGAAACTAGGTTCTTATGATGAACTATCATTAACAATTGTGCCTGCATTTGAAGATAATGACTTGTCATAGTAAAATTCATTTGGTGAAATGTCTTGTTTTATAGAGTACCAAGAAAAATGGCTGCAATGATCCAACCTCTACTTGAAATTCCTTATAGCCTTGCTTTGATGATGATGACAGAACCTTAACAGCAACACAAGTGCCATCATTCAAGGTGCCAAGGTAAACTTTCCCAAATCCTCCTTCTCCAATAACCATTGAGAAATTTGAAGTTATGTTAGAAATCTCAGAGTAAGTAAAGGTCCTATTCTTTGATTTCATTGCCCACTCCTCCTTGAATTTGGCCCCTAAAGCAATGAAAACCAGCATATTTAAAGATAAACACAGGCACTAGAAAATGCTTTTACTTTAAAATTTTAATAATGAGGTTACCTTTTTGTCTTATCCTTTTGATTCTACAAATGATGAGGAGAACACTCAAGAAGATAAGAAGGGCCACAACTGACACAACAGAAGCAACAATGGCAAGAATCTTCTTCTTATTGTTATTTTCACAAGCATCTGTTAGGCATAGGTCTGGATGATTGTTTTTCTCACAAGCATCTATCAGGCATAGGTATGGATTATCTTCCAATCTGTGATTGAGTACGTAGGATAAATCGTTAGATTTACAATATATTAATCATGAATACTAATCTTGTAATTAGAATTGGCTAATTTGAAAAATATGACCATGAGAAAGCATAAGAGGATTGTTAGCAATCATGTTACAAGATGCGTCAACTTTTTGTCATTCAGATCAAAAGATAAGTTCAAAACCCAAACTTAAAAATAGCTAAATGAAAATTGGGGAATAGGTAGTATTGGCAAAGAAATGAAATCAAACCTTAGTTGCACAGTTCCATTATTAGACTTCTCCTTTAAAACCCTGGGAATTTGTCCTTCGAAGTTGTTTCCAGATAAATCACTGCAATGAATTTGTCAAATATGTATTGTTTATAATTTGTATAACTTTGAAAAGAAACAACAGAAAAGTATGGAAGATCAATTAATAAAGAATAACACACATGACTTTCAACTTGGGTAGTTGTGCTAAAAATTCTGGCACTGATCCTTTCAAATTATTATTTGATAAGTCCCTGAAACAAAGAAAAAAAAGGATCAATCTCATTATGAAATTCTTAACAACATTTCAATATATAATCACACTACTACTTACAGAGACTCCATTGCTGTGAATTTGAAGAAAGAAGAAGAAACCTCCCCTTCTAAGTTACTTGAGCTCAAATCCCTGTTTGTAAAATTCATTGAACAAAGATAGAGATGTTTGTATTAAGAAAAATCCAATATCCCAATAATAAACATAGTAGTAGTAGGAGATTGTAACTACATTTTCAGTCTCCCTACTTTCAAAATAGAGACAATGTTGTTCCCCATCCCAACAATAGGTGGGAATAAGCAATAGGGAATAGGCCTTCTCCCTGTCCTTGTGTGACCTAATTGTCATGTAGATTAGATAATTTCTTACAAATATATGATCCTCGTAGTAGAATTCTCAGAACCGCAGCGCAAACCACTCCACTCATATCCTTTTGGGAGACATGGGTCTCCTTGCCAATCAGATCTACTTATCTTGTACATTTGCTTGATATCTATGATTGCATCAACTGTAGTTGTTCAATACATTTGACTAAATTAACCTTTGCATCTAAACATCTTGCAATATCACAAATTATGTATCAATTAGATTTAAAAAAAACACACACACACAAAGAGGAATTGTTAATTAAGTATACTAAATTAAATATTTTTGTCTCCTAGGCCTCTCTCTTAGCATTTATTTGGATAAACGTTAGGAAATGAAAGGAAAGGGAGGGGAGGGGAAGGGAAGGAAGGAGAAGTGAAGGGAGTGAAATGATTGTTGTTAATTTTGTTTGGATAGATAAAAGTAGAGGTGATGAAATGATTATTTTTATTTAGTTAAATAATTTAAAGAAAAATAAAATAAAGTATTTAAAATTTACAAATTAAAAAAATATTTGATATAAAATATTTTTATATATTTATTTCTTAAAATTTTTTTAAAAGATTATATATATAAAATTAATTTCTCTCAATTTCTTCAATTTAGAAGGATGAAAAATAGAGGAGTGGAGGAGGTTCTATCTCCCTCCCCTCTATTAAAATTAATAATCTAAACATAAAAAGGAAGTATCTCCCCCTTCTCCTTCCCTTCCCCTCCAACTTCTCCTCCAACATCCTCAATCCAAACTAAGGTTGAAGGTCAGGGTTTAGAGTTGTGAGTAGAGGTCGGCACGGTTCGATTTTGTTTATAATTGAAATTAAACTACTAGTTAACCAAAATTTTAGGTTTTAGAGTTTAGTAACTATTAGCCAAACTAAAAAAGCAAAAAAAAGTTTTATCAATTTTAATTATACTTTTGAGAATAACCATCCAAATAGGTTTCGGTTTCATATATATATATATATATATAAATTCAGTGACCAAAATAGGGGACCATGCCTTGAGGTTAGGGTATGTAATATCACTAATTATGTATCAATTAGATTTTAGAAAAAAAAAATTAAAAAAAAAAATGCAAATCATACCATCCACAAGATACGTTGGTGATGTCTGGAAATCAGCATCCATGTAAACCTCAAAGGCATTGATAAGGGGTGGAAGACTGGACTCTGTCGTTGCATCAATTGAAAAGTTCACAAATCCATCAACTGAAAAGTTCTGAGGTCCTATGCTTAGTGGTTTTAAGTATTCAAGAGTAATCGGGGCTAACTTCACATTATTCAACGTAATGCTGATTTCTCGCCTTTGATTTTCTGTGGTATTTACAATCTCAACAAAATGGAAGTAGACATATAAATCGCTTGCAGAGTAATCTTCTGAATAATTCAATGAGTCCCATTGATTTAGTGGTTGTGTAGCCGTTCCCAGAACCTTTGTTGGAATTCCATAATTATTGTTACTGGCTTGGACATTGACGTTTGCCTTCGTTTGAATTAAACGCGCTTTAGAAAAAGTATGATGATACCAGACACGGTCGTAAACATCATCTTTGTATCTAAAGAGGAAGAAAATAATATAATAAAGGTATTTTCGACATTATACATTTATAATAATCAATTTTTCTATTCACAATTAATATTTAATTACTTAAAAATTAAGTGCGTATTTCTAAACCTACAGGAGATTAGATGCACCACCAACCCAATTCGCATTAGGGATAAGGGAAACAACAATTTGCATTTAAAAGGGTTGGAGTAAAACTGGTTTTGCTACCCACGTTATATAAATACAACATGAGAGGACACTTAGCGATCCATTTTACTTATCAAATTTTTGCACAATATAGTTAATATATACATTTATATATTAAATATTATAAAAACATAATTATTATATATTAAAATTTTATTTTTACTCTTATTAACAATAGAAATTGGGAGGTGAAAAAAAAAACCTTTAATATTATGTGTAAAATAAAAATTAATAAGTAAATTGAATAACTTTTTTTTTTTTGGAAAAACGTGACAAAAATATATTTAAAGTAGCATGGATAGTTATTTATGGGACGGAACTAACAGGCCAGGACAATCCCAACCATTGATCATGGTGCAGGACACACTGGGCGAGCAAGTTTTGGTACGCAATTTATTTATTATAAATTTTTTTAATAAAAACCAAAATAGTCTGCTTTTACTAATAAACAAAAATCGAAATTAAAAATAAAAAGCAACTTCCTTAAGTCATTTAGTTATGTTAGTTTTCATATTTTAGTCTTGGTTATTAAAATTTAATAGCAGTGAATTAAAATAAAAAATTTAATAAATTAAAAAAATAGTCTTGGCTATCATTTATAAAATTTTGTACTTAAAAAAGTGTTAATTTAAAGTTAAAAATTTAAATTTAGCTATTAAGGATCCATTTTAATCTGCTGACCATCCTCCATATCAAAACTAAATATAAAAAATAGCATAGGTTCTTATTGCGTACCTGGTTGTAGAATAATAGTCTCCGGGCATAACGTCATAACGCCACTTTAATTGGAGTGCTCTTGATTCAATCTGGTAAATGGAGTTGTCCAAAAGCCGAAGTTCCAACCCAGAAATGACTGGAATACCGGAGCCAACATTCACCAAGCAGACATCTATTGTATCGGTCCATAAAAATTGGATGATTTCGTTGTGCCAGTACCAATTCCCGTTCTCTAATTCCACAGTTGTCCAATAATTCACGCCTAGGTATAGGTCAAACGTAGGGGGTAGTTGCTGGCCATCATAATTTCCATAAGTGAAGAAGGCTCTGAACATGTAGTGGTGGCCTTTGCCTTGTTCAGGTTTAAGGGTATAACAGTTCTTCTTTCCCTCCGGAAAACTTCTCAAGGTCTTAACCATCTGCCTCAATTGAGGATTTGTGAGTTCGTTTCCTGGGGATACCTGTTTATTCTCTCCAGCTGTAACAAAATCTGAATCCGACTTGTAATATATTCCACTTAGCTCATCTAGGTAATCTTCATTCACCCCACAATCAATGCTTATTGAACCTTCACTCCATACAAATTAAAATCATGTGAATAATAATTAAACATCAATTTGGAACTCAAATTAAAAGAAAATAAAATTAAACTATGAAGTTATATTATTTAAAATTAGTATCAATTGATATATATATAGTTTGATGTATGCTTTGATTCAGTTACCTGGCCTGTCAGTAGTCGTAACGAGCTTTCATGGTTCCACACGTTTATCGTGTGCCGCGCACAGTCCAGCCATGAGGACTGCCAGAGTGAAGACCGTCCATGCCCATGGTTGAAAGACTAATGTTTTCCCAGCACCCATTTTCCAGACAAATTGTTTCGCAGAAATGGATATAAAATTGCTAGCCATGGATTATATAGGATCTAGCAGACAAGGATTTATCTTTATGAGAGCATAGACTAGAATATTGGTTATTTCATCAAATTTCTAATATGATCGAAAAAACTAGGGCGCTAATATGAGGATATTTTTTATATTATTTTTATATAATTTTTAGATATTATTAAATAAATAAATATATTTAATATTATAAATTTTTATTTGTTTGAGAGCATAGACTAGAATATTGGTTATTTCATCAAATTTCTAATATGATCGAAAAAACTAGGGCGCTAATATGAGGATATTTTTTATATAATTTTTAGATATTATTAACTAAATAAATATATTTA